AAAATAAAATAAAATAAAATACAATAAAATGAAAATGACGTTACATGTCCTATGATCTGTTTATGAAACAAAAGAAAAAAAAAATGCACCCATCTTCCTTCATAAACACTCTTTCGACCACACATACAATTATTGAATAAAACGAAAAATACATCCAAACAAGACAACAAACGGAAACCAAATAAGACAACTTATCTATTCATCCCTCCTTCAACAAATGGTGCCATTGTCAATCCTTGATTTAGTTTGTCAACATTTCCATACCATCCTAAAAAAATAAAAATTAAATTAATGAGGTTAGATCGAATTAATGTAACATTAAAATAAAATAATAGCCGAAAGATTGAAGAATAATTACCAAGATTCATGTCGAAGCCACGATGTTGGAGCTCACGATACTCTTGGCACAAAGCGCAGGACTCGCAACAAAGGTGTAGAAGCAAATCGGGACAAGGTTCCTCCGCTAGCATGTATTGGCTTCTCATTCTTGATCGGTAGAAGCAAGAGTATATGCACGCGCATCCCGCAAAGCACGATATCAGCCCGTATAATGCCCCACTCGCTCCACAAGCTGCACATTAATCAAACACTTCACTAATAAGGGTGGATCGGAGATCGGACATAGATTAACACTATTGCAAATATTTCATTTTTTTTTGGAACTGAAAAACTAATATTCCAATTCCGTTTCATAATTAAATGAAAATTGAAATTTCAAAAATTGGAATGAAATTATTTGAAGTATTTACAATAAATGTACGAGTTTACATCATTTGTCACTCTAATTGTTACTAAGATTGTTTTTATTAATTAAAACACATTCAATTTTTGTTAACAAACTATAAAACCCCGAAAAGCTCATCATTCAAGGCATTAATTATGTGCAAAACAAATCGGATCATATATAGAGATTTTTGCTAATATTAATAGCAGGAGTTTTCAGAAAATTCAACACAACACTGGATTTTTTTATTTTATTTTACAATTCACTCTAAGTGTAAACCTCAAGAAATAATCAATAAATATCTTTTGTGTTCGTCACCTTTTTGGTTGCTCTAATTGTATAGAAAATAAATTCTTAGTATTTTTAATATTATATTAGGATATACCCGTAATGGAAAGTCAATGACAAACTAACTCGTTGAAACTCACTGTCTAGGTTTAGGGGGGGCTGGTAGCTAAATAAAATGTAGGGCAAATTACAAAAAAAACCTTCAACTTAGGCTAAATAACGAAAAATATATACCCCTATCTATTCGTAATTATAAAAAATCCTTTGAGGTTTGTTTCCGTCTTACACTAACCCCTTACAGTATGACTTTTCACGAATTTGTTTTGATTCAAGGGAATAAAGTTTACACAATTCAGATATTTTCTTTTATTTCTCACATATTTAATTTAAGAGAAGGTATAATAGACTGCACAATTTTTTTGTTAAAATACTCGATCAACAATTAATCAGAAGGGGATTTTGGTTATTAAGGATAGGTGGGGACATTTTTCGTTATTTAACCCAAGTTCAGGGGTTTTCGTAATTTACCCTAAAATTTAACTTAATGGCAAAGAAGATTTTGCAATTAACTCAATCAAATATATAATAATGAATAAATTATATATACTTACAGGTGGATCCTCTGTCAACAATCTCAGCAATCTGTCCAAATGTAATGCAGGGACACCAACATGTTATGCAACCTGTGATCATCAATATATATATATATATATATATATATATATATATATATATATATATATATCTCTCTC